TTTGGCCAGGTATTGATAGTTCATGCTACTCAGGAGGCTGAGATCTGAGAATCACAAGTCAAAGCCAACTTGGGCAAGAGAGTCTATGAGACTTACCTCCAGTTAATTACAAAAAAGCTGGAAATGGCACTTTAGCTCAAAGTGGTAGACATTATTAGCCATGAGCCCAAAACCTCAGAGACAGTGCCCAGGCCCTGAGTTCAAGCCTTAGGACTGACCTACACACACATACACACAATCATTTGGGTCAGGTGCTGGGTGACTTGTACTTGTAACTTAGGTACTCAGGACACTGAGATCTGAGGATCAAGGTTTGAAGCCAGCCTAGGCAGGGAAGTCAGACTAATTAATCATCAAAAAGCCAGAAGTGGAGTTGTGGCTCCAGTGGTAGAAATTAGCTGTTATGAGAAAGCCAAGCAAGAATGCAAGGCCCTGAGCTCAAGCCCCAGTACTGGCACATACACACACACACACACACACACACACACACACACACACAATTCATTTAAGATTTTACAGCCCCCGCCCCCCTCCCAATCATTGTTAGGTGCCTCATCCCAATTATTCTCACAGTAAGTGGCTCTATGAAGTAGGCATTGTCACTGCCCATTTTACAGATGAAAAACAGATGCTTAGTAATTAAACCCAAGTCCTTTACCAGAGATCACCAAGCTGTAGTACCCTATATTCCTCAGCACCCCCAAACTCCCTGGAACCTCCATCTCTATAGAAAGAGCTGGACTTAGCATTTAGGGTTAGGGCAAAGTCTTAGAGAAAAAAATGAATTCCTTAGTAGCCAGTTAGGCTTACTTTGAAATCTCCAGCCGTGTAGGTCCCAGCAGGACACAGAGGACAAGAATCACCATTTTGGGGGTATATACCAGTGTGTCTAGGCCTATATGAGGCACATGAGTGGTTGTTGTCTCATTTGTCCTTATTGTAGCCCACAGCAGGCAGAAGCATTTCCGCCATAGAGAGGCCAGGCCTACCTCTTGTGCCCCTCACCACACAGCTCTCAAGCCAGTGAGGAGCTCAGTTCTTAGGGGCCTGGGATCGAGGGAAGATAGGGAGTCAGTCCCCATTGAGAAACTCAAGTCCTGGAAATGGCCAGAGTGGATTCTATTTTGTTACCACTGTGGGGCCCCATGCAGAATAGGGAGTGTCTGGCCCATCCACTGATACCCGAGGACTTCGGGAGGCAGAGGTGGCTCCTGAAGTCTGGGTAGCAGCTGCACCTGCACCTGGCCTGGGCAGGCAGTGACTAGCCTGGCGCTCGGTTCCCTTTCCACTGGGTTTATGGTGTGCCTGCCCTGGACTTCCTGGCCACGTAACCTTAGAGAAGACCCTTGCTTGCTTTCTCTGAGCCTTAGTTGTATCATCTGTGAAGTGAGTTTAGCAATGCTCACATGATGAAGCTAGTGAGGGCATATCTGTGGCCTGGATAGTGTGTGTGTGTGTGTGTGTGTGATTCAGGCACATATCCCTGAACCTTTGGGAGCCCTAAAAGATTTATGATTTCTGGGGCCCAAAGGCTGCAGGCCATCCAAGCTGCTAAGTCTGCGTGCATTCAAGCAAGCAGTTCCAGCAGTCACCACGGCACCCTGGGTGGGAGCCAGGGAGGCCTAGGGCACCCCCGCCCTCTGGGTCTCAGAGAGGTGGTGTCCACACCAGGACGTGGCCCAGCCAGCCCTTGCTGGGTCACGTCGCCTAGGTCAACAGTGGGGCCACTGGCCACTCAAGCCTTACTGCAGGGAGCTTTGCAGCCTGGCACAAGTGTTTGGAGTTCAGTTATGAACAGAGGATTTGGATTCCCTTCTTAAAAGAAGGAAAACAACAACAACAAGCAGCAAACCATGCTGGTGTCTTACCCATGAAGGGCAGTGCTGGGGCTCGCAGGAGAGAGGCAGGCTGTGGTCGGCCTGCATGCGAAGCACTTTATAAGCTCTGTATTTATTATTTCTTGCTCACCATTAAAGTCAAATGTACTCGTGCTTTTGTATTCAATGCACATTTAACCCTGCCGACTTAGATTTCTCAGGTTTTAAATCCAGCGGGAATTGGCTGGCTTCCCAACTTTCCCCTCCGGTCCCCCCGAACAGAGCTGGAAATCCCTGTTTAGCATTTTCTCCCCGGGCACCACTGGGATCCTGGCTGTGGTGGGCCGCCCCTGTGTGTGTGCGGGTGGCTTTTCTCCTTCCACCCAGCCCCCACCTAGCCCAAGCCCCCCAAAAGGGGGTTGTCTGCATCATCTTAGGAATTAGGCCTAATTAAACCTTGTTGCCTATGTGTGTCTGGGTCTGGTTGTAGTCTACCACTGTGTGTGTGGAGGGGGTGGGGGAAGGGAGGTAATATGTGCATGTATGATTTGTATGTTTTTTTACCTCTTGCTCACGCCTTTGTGGATGATATTAGATTGTGTGTAAGTCACAGTCCCCAGGCCTTGGTATATCTAGGTGGTTGTCTGGGAGGTTTGGGTCTGGCTTTGTCCACAGCATTGAGGTGTGTGTGTGTGTGTGTGTGTGTGTGTGTGTGTGTGTGTGTGTGTGTGTGTGTGTGTGTGTGTGTGTGTGTGTGTCTGGGTGGGTCTGTAACCGCCAGGGTGACTGTCTCTGGTCCGTTGTGTCTTCCTCTCCTCCCCCCCCCGCCTCCCCCTTCCTCTCCCTCCTCTGTCTGTTTTATCATCCCTAATGAAGCAGTCTCCTCCATCGATCCTGCTGATTGCCAACCCATTCCTTTTGTTTGTTGGCGCTGAGCCATTCAGCGGCACTCTGACAGCTCAGCTCGTCTAATTAGCTCTGTTGTTCTTTTTCCCCATGTTTCACCACGTTGCAAGTTCAGTTGAAGTTGCCACAAACTTAATCCCCCCATTTCAGCCACAAGTTCACATTCTTAACCCGCCTTTATTGTAGCGAGGCACAGCGCTGTTCAGGACGAGCTGACAGGCTTAATGTCTGACCTTTCCTGAGCGCCTGCCCCGGCCCAGCCAAGGACAGGCCTGCTCCTCACTCCAGCTGCATCGCCTTTGTGGGGAGAGGCTGGGGGAACCCTCTAGTCAGGGGAGCCCGCGTACGGCTGCCAGAGGAGCCGAGCTGCTCTAGGGAAGCCAACGTGCAGCTAGAATAGGGGTGAATGTATTATTTGTTTGTTCAGCAAATGATGACCAAATATCTGCTGAATGGCAGGTGCCCTTCCATTAATAATGACAGCAATAGTGGCAGCATTCTGCACCTCTTGGACGCCATGCAACAACATTTGTATGTTTCTACAAATCTTGCCACTATATGTGTGTGTGTGTGTGTGTGTATGTGTGTGTGTGTGTGTATGTGTATATACATATATATACACACACACACTAGGTACTGCACAGGTTATTAAGAGGGATAAGATCAACCTGTGATCCAACTTCTAATGCAGAGACACCCTGGTCTTCCTTTGTTATTGGTTTAAAAAAAAAAAAAGCTGGGTACCAATGGCTCACGCCTGTAATCCCAGCTACTCGGGAAGCAGAGATCTGAGGATCATGGTTAAAAAAACAACCCAGGCAGGAAAGTCTGTCAGACTCTTAATCTCTAATTAACCAAAAAGTTGGAGGTAGAGTTGTGACTCAAGTGGCAGAGCACTAGTCTTCAGCCAAAAAGTTCAGGGACAGTGTATAGGCCCTGAGTTCAAGCCCCACAACTGGCACATGCATGTGCACACACATACATACATGCACACACGCACACATGTCACTGAGAAGCAGGATAAGCATTTACAAAGCTCCCACTATGTAGCAGTAGAACACCACTTTGGGGTGTTCCCTGTACTTTACAATGGGTCCATGGAAGAAGACAAAGCAGGTTTGATGGAATGCATTTGGCTTTTACCACACCTCTACTTTGCCAAACAAAGCTGAGCTCAAACTGGCTGCTTCACAGGAAAAACTTTGGTTAGATCAGACATGCGCAAACCTGAGGATCAGATGGGACCCTATAAAGACTTGTCTAGTATGTAGCCAACTTCTATAATCTTCTTCCTGAGCCACTGTGCTGTGTTACCCAAAGATTGCCAGCAGAGGTGTTAAGGAAAAGAGCAGCCAGGAGTTCATGCACCCTCTTTTCCCCATCTTGTTGGCAAATCCAGCCAGTGTGGTCTCATGTATGCAGGGAAAGCAAGCCCTGTGCGCTGCCCTCAGCATTCGGCTGTTTTTATTGGCAATGGAATGCAGAGGGACTTTCTTAGCTTAGAGCTTTCCCTTCCCCCTCTCCAACACTGGAAACGGTCAGAGATGGTGGTACCATGGAATGTTGATTGGACTGAATGAGTTTCTTCTACACATACCTAGAAATTCTCAGCCTGACACCCATTCACAGACTCTCCTGGGGAGGGAGGCATCTTTTTCTGTGGGCTTTCAGAGGTGGCAGCTTGGAATAACCCATCTTGGCACCGAGGCTCTAACTACAAGATTAGGAAGCCATCCACTTCCTCCACCAGGTCTGCGCCATGAGCATGGCCACACAGGGACAACAGCTGGCTGAGCCCTGCTGGAGGACCCTGAGAAGCAAAACAGGACTCTCCCATGTTGGTATTTGCATTTCCCCCTTCCCATTTGGGGAAGCATGGGATGGGATTTGACTATAAAAGAGCAAAATTAAGCATGTGTATCTCAAAAAAAATCTCAGTGAAACCTTTCAGGTGTCTGGGTTCTGTGGTGAAGAGCTGTAGGATGTTTTGCGTCCCCTGCAGCCACCGTCACAGCCTGACAACAAGGAGGCAGGGAGTCTGTCCCCATCCTGCAGGTGAAGAGAATTTTCCTGATTTGAATGCGCCACAGAATTCCTAGTAATGCATCTTATCTGCAGCACACAAAGGGGTGGTTTCTCCATGATGAGTGGGGCTTTTGTAGCCTGCACCTTGAAGATCCCCAAACATTTCTTCTGGAATGCTTATCTAAACCTTCACAATGTCCCTGTATGGCTTTTCCAACTCACTCCTTGGGGGTTTCCCTGTGCCCATTCTAGGTGCGCCCACCCCGTCCCCATGTCGTCAAGAGACCGAAGAGCAATATCACCACGGAAGGCCGGAGGACATCTGTCTCAAGCCCTGAGCAGTGAGTACCTATGCCCCACCCCCTCGCTCGTCTGTCTGGAAGAACATAGGAGAGCCAGTATGTTGTGCTCCTCCCTGGAGCACTGAGCAGGTGTTTTACAAAGGGGTCAGTCAGGAGCAGGGCTTCGCCTTCAGTACTGGCTTCTGCGTGTTCTTCTGTTCATCTGGCTATCATATCAGCAAGAGGCCCCAGAAGCTGAGGAGCTGGGTACCTGGTCTGGGTTAAGAGTGATGAGACCCAAGGGGCACTCAGACAAAATTCAGGAAGGTCCCAGGCTTCTTATGCTGGAGACATAGAGTTCATAGATGAGAATTGGCAACGGGCAACTATTTAACGAGGCTACCCTCTCCCTAGATCTGGTGGGGCATAAGGTCTCTCTCTATTGCTCAGATTTATGCACAAAGATATGCTCAGCCCCCTTTTCACTTTTGCCACAGCATGTGGGCTCCCTGGGCAGGCCCTTGGGATATGCTGAGGAACTATCCTAGAACCTGAATCGGCCACATCCCAAGTGACTGTTGGATAGATGAGGAGAATGAAGATGCAGGCCAAAAGCTTTGTATACAGAGGCTGAGCTACTCTAGTGGCTGGGCTCAAAACCCCACTCCAGAGCTACTTCCCTTTGTTCCCAAGACACACGGATAGTTCAGCAGCCACTCACTGGCTTCCTGGATGTCTAAAGAAAGTGCACAGATCGGGGCTGGGAAGGTGGCTCAGTGGTAGAGTGCTTGCCTTGCATGCCTGAGGCCCTGGGTTCGATTCCTCAGTACCACATAAACAAAAAGAAAAAAGCCAGAAGTGGCGCTGTGGCTCAAGTGGTAGAGCGCTAGCCTTGAGCTGAAGAGCTCAGGGACAGCGCCCAGGCCCAGAGTTCAGGCCCAACAACTGGACCCCCCCAAAAAAAAAAGAAAAAAGAAAGTGCACAGATCCGTCTTGGTCTGGAGTTGTTGGAGGAATTGGAAAAAAAAAAATCATTCCTTTGAGTGGAAAAGGGAATACCCTTTCTGAAGGGACTGCTTTCCAAACATTTCTCAGGGAAAGGATTTATAAGGAGATGGCACATCCTAGCCAGAACTAGAGCCAAAAGGAATAACTGAAATGTCGAGCTATGACCTAATCCAGGTTGTAGTGCGCTTCACTTTTTCTAGAAACTGATTGAGACTTGCATAGAAAGTTCAGGTGAAAGAGAGCGAGAGAGTTAGAGAGAGTGTATGTGTGTACATGCGTATGCCTTTCTAGTACTGCTTATGTGAGATTTGGAAGAGAACACTCTTGAAGTTGTGCAGACTTAACTGGTGCCTAGCACAATAGGTTGGTGGGAAGGGGAATGAGGTCCAGGCAGCTCCCTGATGGTGGATGATGATTGCCCCCTTGTGGAGAGAAAGCTGCATAGTTCCGATGTCCTCTGGCCCTACAGATTTCTCCTGAGGGAAGGAAACTGACTTATTTCCTTAGAGTCACTTCTCTGCCACTGTATCTGTACTGGGATACAGGCCCTGGAACTGTAGAGATGGAGTTGCTAAACCAGAATATCACTGCATTGCACAGAACCTCTGCACTCTCCCATTGTATGGAAAAGCATTGCCCATTGTGTAGCCAGATTCCTGCTGAGAAGCTGGACTTTGTAACCCTTTTGATATCGACTGTTGCTCTCCTAAACCAGATAGAGACTGAATCTTCCCTGTATTTTTTCTGGTGACTTCCTACGCTGCGTCAGTATGACTCTCAGTTTCCTTTTGCAATATGCTTACCTTTCTTTTCAGGACACATCAGGAGTTGAGATGAGCCAGCAGAAGCCTGGGGCTGGTTCGGGGGAGGGGGAAAGTGGTGAATCAGCTGTAACAGAAAACAAATGGCAGGTCTTCTGTGAGCACACCTCAGAGCAACTCAGACCTGGAGGAGGGAGGTATATTTCAGGACGTCAGTACGAGGGTTTCTCTTCACATTTTCTTGATGCGGAGGAAGGGAAGTTGTGCTCTCATCATGCCAGTGACATCTCTGGTGCCACCCGGGTGTTTTCCTGCGTCTCTTCCAGTCTGCCATCCCCCCGCCCTCCCCCCCACCATGCTCCTCCACTTCCAAATGCCATGTCACAACAGCACTTGGATGTGTTTTTCTCAACTGTCATCAGCTCCAGCTGGCAAGACCAACTTCTTGAAACACAGGAAGCATCCAGCGGAAAATATTTTAATAAAACAGACTCCTCATAAAATATTGTTGGGGGGGGCAACCAGCTCCACCAATCTGTTGGCATGGTGTTGGGAGCCTTAAGCTGCAGCTCCGGCACGCAGGAGCCAGAGCCTGATGGGCCTTTGTGTTGTGTATGTGGACGCGGTGCCTGGCCCTTTCATCTGCCCTGGCTTTTCTTGAATCCTGGGTCTTCATCTCCACTGGCAATTTCAAAGTGAATCTGAAACTTGGAAGTTTGGGGCAGCAGAAGAGTATGTGGGATCTTTGAAGTTGAGGAGGGAGACTTGGTCTTCCTGATCTCTTGCCCCAACCGTCACTTCCAGCAACATATTTCATCATCAGCTTGGTGGACAGGAAGCCAGGGCTGATTAAGAATGCAAGCGTCCCCTGCCCTGCAGCATTCTGGGACCCACCAAGGCCGGCAGTGGCGGCTGGCGGCTCTCTGGCTAGTCCATCACCGAAGTCTCCTTCCAGCTGACGTCCACCCGTCCGTTGCTCCATCTGTGCGTTCATGCGTCTTTCATTCAGCAAATATCTCTGAGAACCTGTTAGATGCACACTAGGGGGCCTGCAGCAGGGGTTTCCATGCTCAATCCTGTAGACTAGCATGTACTCATTCAGAACGAAGACTCTCCTCTATCAAGGGTAAATTTCCTAGCCCCTTCTTGGCCTTTTGTTGGCCTTTAGAAGAATGCATTCAAAAGATTTCTAGGGAAACATTCCCTGTTGTTTGGTTGTTGTTTTCTGTTAGCATTCGCTGATTAATATGCAGTTACATTTCTCTCTATGAAGCGGTAGCTCCTCCCGTTATTATTCAGATGCTTTAGCTGGATGGCAGCCAGCAGGAAGCCCAGCCCAGCCCCTTCATGTCTTCAGCCCTCTGGTGCTAGTGGTTTCTGCTTCCACAGACAGGGAGCTCAGGCTCCCATAGTGCATCTGCTCTTCCTAGGCCCTCTACATAGAATGGCAAGGCTGAGATTCAGAGTTCTGGTTCCTGTGTCCTAATGCTCTGCTGCCCTCCTTGGCACAAGGTCTATGGGGGTTCATTTGTAGTCTGTCTTTGCCCAGCCACACAGCCCCATGTCCTAAGATGACTGGCCCAGCCTACCAGCCCTCCCCTAGGTTCTTTGGAGCCTAGAGTCAGAAGCCAGAGCCTCAGTCCTCCTGCTACCGGAGTAGTTTCCATGGGTACTTAATGAGTCTCCTTGGGGAAAGAGAAAGAGCATTTCTTAAGATTCTACAAGGGGGCTGGGGAGGTGGCTCAGTGGTAGAGTGCTTGCCTCGCATGCATGAGGCCCTGGGTTCGATTCCTCAGTACCACATACACAGATAAGGCTGGAAGTGGCGCTGTGGCTCAAATGGTAGAGTGCTAACCTTGAGCTGAAGAGCTGAGGGACAACGCCCAGGTCTAGAGTTCAGGACCCATGACCAACCGAAAGAAAAAAATTCTGCAAGGTAGGTGGTGGCTCCCCTTTAGCTGATGGAGAAGCTGACGCTAAAGGAAAGGCTCAGTAGAGTCAGCTGTCTCTTGACAGGTCTGGTCCTTCACTCTCCAGTATCCAGGCTCTTTGTTTAGAACCTACTTCTGGGCCAAGCACGGTATCACATACCTGCAATCTCAGCACTTGGTATGCAGAGGCAAGTGTCAAGTCAGCCTAGGCTACAAAGAAAGACCCTATCTCAAAAAGTAAAAGGATCTAAGTAGGCCTCCACACTACACTGAGTGGTGAAACCACGGCGCCTGACCCTGTGTTTCCCAGCCAGCACCCCAGCTGCAAAGCCCAGAGTTTTTTCCCTTCTGGCTCCCAGGTGCTAGAGAATTTCCATCCAATGTGGCACCTAGACAGAGCCAATAGCCAGCTCACAAAGGCAGCACTGTGCTCCACCAGTGTCTGTGACCCACCCCAGGTGCTGCTCTTTGCCAGGCAGCCTGGGATTTCATCCCTGCTGAGAGGTGGAGTGGGGCCAGAGTCAGTGGCCCTCAGAGAGTAGCTCAGATATGGAGGAAGAGCATTACATGAAGCCATCACCTAGTTCATCTTCACAAGCTAGCCACAAGGCTGTCTTCTGAGTCCCAAAGGGCTCATGGGCCATGTTGGGTCTTCAGGGACCAGTCCCAATTGCCTGTACAGTTGAGCCCTTTTGACCAGCTTGGTCTCTTGTCTTCTTCCACTCACAGAGGAGCTTTGGCTGGCTACATCCTGAGTGAGAATAGTTCCTTTCACCTCTCCGGCTAGAATATAGGAAGTTTGTGCTTTTCAAGTACTTTTGTTTATTTGTTTGTTCAAAATATACAGCAGCCTTAGAGACATCCTAGACATGAAAAAGAAAAAAGAAAAACATTTCCTTTTAATCCCTCTTTAGTTGAGATACATGTTACATACCTATAGATTCCCCTCCAGTCTCTTTGCTATATGTATTTCTTGACACTCTGCCTCTCTTGCAATCTCCTCTCCTATGGGCTGTTCCCTGTGTCTTCATGACCCTGTTGTTGGATATAGAAGATCCTGTTGTATATGTACTGAGGATCTACCTAGCCCTGCTTGGGATTTGGTCTTGAGGCTGTTCACTAGCTTTCATCCTTATCTGCGCTCTCCAAGCTGTGGTTTGCTTGGTGTCATTGTAAGAAATAGAATTAACAAGTACCATTAGCTGAGAACTATGTGCTAAGTACTTTATGTACTCCACTTCATCAAGTCCTCATGAGAAATGGGTGGAAAGGGGGTTCTGAGCTTGATTATCTAGCAGTGGCTGAGACTCAGAGGTCATCTTTGCCCTTGGTCATACAGCTGGTAGCAGAGTTGAGCTTA